TTATCTTCAATAAACCACCATAAAACCAGAAGTGGCACTGTGGCTCAAGTGGTAGAGCCCTAGCCTTGAGCTGAAGAGCTGAGGGACAGCGCCCCGGCCCAGAGTTCAGGCCCAGAGTTCAGGCCCCACGACCAACAACCACAACAAAAAATGCAAAGATGCTAGGCGCCAGTGGCTCACACCTGTTATCCTACCTTCTCAGGAGGCTGAGATCTGAGAATTACAATTCAGAACCATCCTTGGCAGAAAAGTCCATGAGAGTTTTATCTTTAATTAACCAGCAAGAAGTGGAGCTGTGGCTCAAGTGGTAGCGCACCAGCCTTGAGCAGATAAAGCAAAGCAACAACATAAGGCTTTGTGTCCAAGCACTAGTACTAGCACAAAACAAAAAGAAACTATCAAATGAAACTGGTGTTGTTTTCAAATGTCAGACTTGGTTTTCAATTCAATTTCGAATAAAAAAGTGAGCCGGGTGCTGGTGGCTCACACCTGTAATCCTAACTACTCAGGAGGCTGAGATCTGAGGATTGTGGTTCAAAGCCAGCCTGGGCAGGAAGTCCATGAGACTCTTATCTCCAATTAACTACCAGAAAACCAGAAGTGATACAGTGGCTTAAATGGTAGAGGACTCACCTTGAGCTGAAGAGCAACAGGGTCAGTGCCCAAGCCCAGAGTTCAAGCACCACAACGGACAAAAAAAAAGTGTTAATGCATTCTTCATAACAACTATGTCACTTCTGAATCCTAAATGAGGTACTAAGTCTTACAGTGAAATTGTGGTCTGGATGAAAAACGGCACTGCCATCTTCCGTATGTCTTACTAAAATCCTCTTTGCTTGAAGAGAGACAGAGACCCAAGACTTTGCTTCCTCACTAGTACTGTGGTGTTCCCAACACATGATATTAGAAAAATCTGTGTGTGTGTGTGTGTGTGTGTGTGTGTGTGTGTGTGTATGTGAGTACTAGGGCTTGAACATAGGGCCTGGGTGCTGTCCCTGAGCTTTTTTTCACTGAAGGCTAGCCCTCTACCACTCTGAGCCACAGCTCCACTTTAGGTATTTTATTTATTTATTATTATTATTATTTTTTTTGTCGGTCATGGGGCTTGAACTCTGGGCCTGAGGGCTGTCCCTCAGCTCAAGGCTCACGGCTAGTGCTCTACCACTTGAGCTACAGCGCCACTTCTGGTTTTCTGGTGGTTTATTGGAGATAAGAATTTCATGGACTTTCCTGCCTGGGCTGGCTTTGAACTGAGATCCTCAGATCTCAGCCTCCTGAGTAGCTAGGATTACAGGTGTGAGCCACCAGCGCCTGGCTTTAGGTATTTTTAGTGGTTAATTGAAGACAACATTCTTATCTGGACTGCCTTCAAATCACGAGTGTCAGATCTCAGTTTCCTGCATAGCTAGAATTACAGTCATGAATCATCAACGCCTGGCTCATCTACACTTTTTGATTTCAAAGCATGTTAAGTTGCAAGAGAAGCACATGCCCTTTCCCAGTCACATTTGCTTTACAGCCCTATGGATTGGTGTGCATTTTTCTGAACCATTTGTGAGTAAATTGCACTTAACCTCTAAATACTAGAGCACATATTTCCCAGAGCAAAGGCATTCTTCTGCATAACCACAATGCAATGATCATACTCAAGATAGTTTAATGTGGTTTGTTATGTTGCCATCACCTAATTTACGGTCTCAATTCAAATTTCTCCAATTATTGTAATAATATCCTTAAAAGTATTTGAAGCTCCATTCAGAATCTATTCAAGTGTTACACATTGCGTTTACTTCTCATTTCATTTAGCTCCTAATTTCAAGTTTCACAGCATTTGGCGCATGTGTGTGTGTGTGTGTGTGTGTGTGTGTATCCTCATACCTTTTATGACATTGATTTTGGGGGGGGGGGATTCCGGTCATGGGGCCTGAACTCTGGCCTGGTTGCTGTCCCTCAGCTCTTCAGCTCAAGGCTAGCACTCTACCACTTGAGCCACAGTGCCACTTCCGGCTTTTTTCTTTTTTGCTTATGTGGTGCTGAGGAATCGAACCCAGGGCATCATGCATGCAAGGCAAGCGCTCTACCACTGAGCCACCTTCCCAGCCCCATGACATTGATTTTTTTTAATTGTGAAAAATACCATACAGAGGGGTTTCAATTACTTGAGCAAGGTAATGAGTACATTTCTTTCAAGCATTGTTGCCTCCTCCTTTGTTTCCCCTTCCCATCCCTTCCCATCTCTCCCTGCCCCCCATGACATTGAATTTTTTGAAGCATCTAAGCAATGTATATTTGGACTTAAATTGTTTTGTTTTTGTTTTTTAGACAGTCTCATTTTGTAAGCCAGGCTGGTCTCAAACTTGAGATCCTCCTGCTTCAGCTTGCTGAGTGCTGAAATTACAGGTTTGTACCACTATGTAGAGTGCACTATTTAAATTTAAAAAAAAAACAGTTTTAGGGCTGGGAAGGTGGCTCAGTGGTAGAGCGCTTGCCTTGCATGCCCTGGGTTCGATTCCTCAGCACCACATAAGCAAAAAGAAAAAAGCCGGAAGTGGCGCTGTGGCTCAAGTGGTAGAGTGCTAGCCTTGAGCTGAAGAGCTGAGGGACAGCGCCCAGGCCCAGAGTTCAGGCCCCATGACCGGACCAAAAAAAAAAAAAAAAAAGAAACAAAAAAAAAAAAAACAGTTTTAGGTTTAGAGGCAAACTGTAAAGACACTAGTCTCTAAGATTACACAGTTTGGGAGGAAATCACAAAAGCAAAGTGTCATTTTTATCACACTTTATCATGCTTATCAACATTAGTTATCACTGGAAATGTTAACCTTGACTTAATTCTCACCCTCCCTCTTTCTTTTTTGTCTGTTGTGGGGCTTGAACTCAGGCCTGGACACTGTTCTTGAGTCTCTTTGTGCTCAAGGCTAGTGCTCTACCACTTGAGCCACAGTGCCACTTCCAATTTTTGAGCAGGGGTGGGTGAGTGTTAATTGAAGATAAGAGTCTTACAAGCCTGGCACCGGTGGCTCTTGCCTATAAATCCTAGCTACTCAGGAGGCTGAGAGCTGAGATCTGAGGATTGCCAGCCCATGCAAGAAAGTCTCTGTCAGACACTTATCTCCAATAAACCACCAAAAAAAAACTGGAAGTGGTGCTGTGGCTCAACTGGTAGAACGCTCACCTTGAGTTGAAGAGCAGAGGGACAGAGCTCAGGCCCAGAGATCAAGCTCCACAACCAAACCCTCAAAAAAAAAAAAAAACTCTCACAGACTTTTCTCCCTGTGCTGGCTTTGAACCCTAGTCCTCAAATCTCAGCCTCCTGAGTAGCTAGGATTACAGGGGTGAGCCACTAGCACCTGGCTCCTTATATACAGTTTGTTGTACCTTTAGTATAACAGACATGACTTATTTCCAAAGGTACTTGCTTAGGTTAGTGCCACTCCCCTACTCTGTTCAGTGTGGATGAGTCTTACATGAGCATTACAGTTAGATTATCACAGATTGCATGTATTCCATCCTAGGGCTCCCTGCATTTCCTAAAGATTTTTTTCTTCCTGGTTTACATACATGGAAGTTCATTCTTCATGCTGTAAGGTTGTATCAATTTGGGCTGAGGATGTAGCTCCATGGTGCAGTGCTTGTATAATATGTACCTGACTTCTATCATCAAAGCTGCAAGTTTTTTATTTATAAATAAAATATTTTTAAAAGAAGCCTGGTGTGGTGAAATCCACCTGTTATTAATTTAGGAAGCTGAATAGTCATGGGTTTGAGGCCAGTCTGGGCTTATCTAGTAAGACCCTATCTCAAACAAAAGGGAATGGAAGGGAAAAAGCCACATTATGATATTTGCTCTGTCTCTAAAGATTTATCTTTTCACATATGCTTTACAAATGCACTTTTACAGGATACCACTTTTTCAGACTGGCTTCTTCAATGTGATGGTGAGATGGTGACTCATGCTTGTAATCCTACTCACTCGAGGCTGAGATCTAAGGATCAAAGTTCAAAGCCAGCCCAAGCAGAAAATTCTGCCACGTTGGCGTGCAAGAATCATAACTCAAGCCCCAGTACTGGCCTGTGTGTGTGTGTGTGTGTGTGTGTGTGTGTGTGTGTGCGCACGTGCACACACAAAGATTCTTTCTAGAATTGTGTACTTAAGTTTCCTCATTTTTTTTCATGTTTTACAGTTTCTAGAGAGAGGTAAGAGACTCACAACAGTCAACATTATATTGAAGAACGAAGTTGAAGACTGATGCTACTTGACTATCATCAAGGTACAGTAATTGAGGCAGTGTAGTATTATCACAGGAATAAACACAAACAGATTTAATAAAAGCTTGGTGTGTGTTGAATTGAAACCCATTTGTACAATTACTTAAGGATAATAAAAAAATAAAAATTTAAAAAAGAAACCTGTTATGGTGACAACCACTTGTAATTGTAGGACTTAGGAAGCTGAAAGAAGATAGTCATGAGTTTAAGGCCAGTCTGGATTTATATAGTGAGATTCTATCTCAAAGAAAGAAAATACGTCTGAGCAGGGCACTAGCAGCTCATTCCTGTATTCTTAGCTACTCAGGAAGCTGAGATCTGATGATCACAGTCCAAAGCTAGCACAGACAAGAAAGTCCATGAGACTCTTATGTCCAGTTAACCAACAACAGAGCTGAAAGTGAAGCTGTGGCCCAGGTGGTAGAGTGCTAACCTTGAGCACAAAAGCTCAGGGACAGTGCCCCAAATTGTGATTTCAAGTCCCAGGACCTTCATACAAAAAATTGTAAACATATGTCTTCATAAGCATATCACAAAATGAAACAAAGATCTAACACCAAAACATGACACAATGAAAGTTTTGGACAACAGCAGAGAAAATGTAGATGACTTTTGGGTAGGCTGCTAGCTTTTAGATGCAAAAGCATGATCCATGAACAAAAAAGAATTGATAAACCAAATTTCATTAAAATTAAAAAAAAACTTCAGCTTTAATTATATGTCAACATAATGAGAAGATAAGCCATATACTGGGAGAAAATATTTGCAAAAGCCTTGGTTGAATGGACAGACTCTCTTAATGGATTTGGCAATAACCTGAATAGAACATGCTTTGGAAGAAACACAAGTTCTGATTTTCTTGTTGGTCGTGGGGCTTGTTTGTTTTTGTTTTTTTTTCTGGGTCCGGTCGTGGGGCCTGAACTCTGGGCCTGGGCGTTGTCTCTCAGCTCTTCAGCTCAAGGCTAGCGCTCTAGCGCTTGAGCCACATCGCCACTTCCGGCTTTTTTCTTTTTGCTTATATGGTGCTGAGAAATCGAACCCAGGGCCTCAGGCATGCAAGGCAAGCGCTCTACCACTGAGCCACCTTCCCAGCCCCGGTTGTGGGGCATGAATTCTGGGCCTAGGTGTTATCCATGAGCTCTTCAGCTCAAGGTGAGTGCTCTACCAGTTGAACCACAGTGCCATTTCCGTTTTTCTGGTGGTTTATTGGAGATAAGTGTCTCAGGGAAGCCGGGTGCTGGTGGCTCAGCCTGTAATCCTAGCTACTCAGGAGGCTGAGATTTGAGGATCGCGGTTCAAAACCAGCCTGGCATAAAAGTCCGTGAGACTCTAGAGCACTAGCCTTGAGCTGAAGAGCTCAGGGACTGCGTCCAGGCCCAGAGTTCAAGCCCCACGATGGACAAAAAATAAAAAGTCTCAGGGCTGGGAAGGTGCTCAGTGGTAGAGTGCTTGCCTTGCATGCATGAGGCCCTGGGTTCCATTCCTCAGCACCACATAAGCAGAAAAAAAAAAGCTGGAAGTGGCCCTGTGGCTCAAGTGGTAGAGTGCTAGCCTTGAGCTGAAGAGCTGAGGGACAGCGCCCAGGCCCAGAGTTCAGACCTATTACCGGACCCAAAAAGAATAATCTCATGGACTTTCCTGCCCAGGCTGGCTTTGAACTGCGATCCTCAGATCTCAGCCTCCTGAGTAGCTAGGGGTGAGTCACGGGTGCCCAGCACAAGTTCTGATTTTTATGGTATGGTAAGTGGCTATTGGTTCTTAGAATTTTTTTCTTTTGTTGGTCCAGAGACTTGAATTTAAAGTCTGGGCACTCTCTCTGGGCTATTTTGCTCAAGGTCAGTGCTCTACCACTTTGAGCCACAGCACCGGTTCTGGTTTTCTGGTGGTTAATTGGATATAAGAGTCTCACTGACTTTCCTGCCAGAACTGGCTTTGAAAGAGTCCTCAGATCTTAGCCTCCTGAGTAGCTAGGATTACAGGTGAGAGCCACCAACACCCAGCTAGTTCTTCAAATTTTTATGGTGTCCTGGAAATCAATCCACTCCATTTTTCCACATTCTGCTAAGAGAAAGGAAGAAATTGTTTACAAATTTAGCTGTATCATTCATTAAAATACATTTTAATTTTTATTACATTGCTATTTCTATATGTAGCTTCAGTTTTCTCAATTATTCTGTCTGGTGTTCTTTAGAAATTTGGGGATGGGGATATGTAGCTCAGTGGTATAATGTGTGTTTCTCATGCATGTATGGCCCTGGGCTCAATGCCTAGCACAGGCGCACACAAAAATCTTGAGTAAGGATCTTTTCTGTATGAAGGAAGTCTTTTTCTGTGTGAAGGAAAGAGCTCTTAACTGGTGGTTGGACCCAACTAACAGTTGTAGCCAGGTTTCTGCCCAGAAAGAGTAGCCTAAATCAACAGTTGTGCTTAGGAATGAGGGCTAAACAAGGCCTATTCCTGTTTGGGTACGCCACATATTACAAGACATTAGGAAAACTTAACACTAACATTCCAAAAGTCAATAACCCACAGGAAACCTTTGGACTCTTTAAAAAAAGACCTTATTGGAAGTCTGAAAAAAAAGTATGCCAACGATCAAAAATACTAGGCACTTGAGAAATAAATATACAGCTTGGTTAACTGGCAAAAATCAAAGGGGTTATTGTAAGGGGGAAAAAACTGTCTTTCAAAAAATGGAAATAGAGTTTGTAATGGGGAGAACCAAGAAGTCTGAAAAACATGGTAGGCTCAGATATAGAGTACAAATTGCATGGGCTCACAAAGAACAATGAGTTCTTTGCCAGGGACTCAAGCTCCTCTCTAAAATAAATTGGAGAGAAAGTCAGCTAGAGAATCAGCAGGAATACAATGTGACAGGAGCTGGGGAGGAGGGATTTCAGGTGTTCATGGCTTACATGAAAGGACTTTGGCTGAGCTTCAGGTTTAAGAGATGACTGAGTAAAAAAGAAAGTTTTGGGCTGGGAATGTGACTTAGTAGTAGAGTGCTTGCCTAGCATGCATGAAGCCCTGGATTCCTCAGTACCACATAAACAGAAAAAGCCTGAAGTGTTACTGTGGCTCATGTGGTAGCAAAAGAAGCTCAGGGACAGTGCCCAGGCTCTGAGTTCAAGCCCCAGGACTGTCTATATGTTTGCGTGTGTGTGTATGTGTGTGTGTGTGCGCGCGTGCATTTTTTTTCTTTTTTCCAGGGCTGAGGACCTAACCCAGGGCCTTGCGCGCACCAGGTGGGCGCCCTTCCACTCGGCTAAATCCCCAGCCCCGTATGTGTGTGTGTGTATTTTTTTTCTCACCTCAGCCTCTTCTCAACTCTCTGTTTAATCCTTTCTCTGGTCTTTTCCTGGATCCACTTGGATTTGGACAGTCTTTTTGGTTTCTTGACCATTTCCAAATTGTGATGCCCAGGCAAACCGTAGATCCCTTCAAATCCCTTCAAATCAGACGTATTCTGTAAGTCATAGAAGCTCTCACCCAGAAGGGGGTCCCATGAAGTTTTTTTTTTTTTTTTTGTCGGTCGTGGGGCTTGAACTCTGGGCCTGAGCGCTGTCCCTCAGCTCTTCAGCTCAAGGCGAGCGCTCTACCACTTGAGCTACAGCGCCACTTCCGGTTTTCTGGTGGTTTATTGGAGATAGGAGTCTCACGGTCTCTCCTGCCCGGGCTGGCTTTGAACCGCGATCCTCAGATCTCAGCCTCCTGAGTAGCTAGGATTACAGGCGGGAGCCACCAGCGCCCGGCTCCATGAAGTTTCTTTACCTATATAGATTACACTAAGACCGGGTGAGGAGTCAGACGGATGAACTTTGCCCCTTTCTGTTATGTTGAAGAGGAGAGACAATTTGGTCACCCTTGCCTAGATGGAGTTTAGCTGGGGGAGACTGCCACCTGGTGGTCAAACTTGAAAGGTACAGAAGCACTCACAATGGCCCCACATCTTTACCATTTCTTACTTATTAGGCTATTGGATTTATATGAAATATCTCATTTAAAGCTCACAATAACCTTATAATGTGGGTATCGTTACCTCAACTTGAAAATTATTTACATTAAATGGTTATGTTGTAATTTAAGCAATAGGATAAGTGACCTTTGACCTTTGTTCCTAGCAGGACAATATTTGGCACATAGTAGGCTCTCAGGGAATATTTGCCAATTTTTTTATTGTTGTTGGTCATGGGGCCTGAACTCTGGGCCTGGGCACTGTTTCTCAGCTCTTCAGCTCAAGGCAAGTGCTCTACCACTTGAGCCACAGCACCACTTCCAAATTTTTGTGCTTATGTGGTGCTGAGGAATTGAACCCAGGGCTTCATGTATACAAGACAAGTACTCTTCCACTGAGCCACCTTCCCAACCCTTGCTAATTTTTTTTGTAGTACTGGGAATGGTGTATGCTAGTCAAGTGTTCTACCACATGAGCCATGTCCCCAGCCCCATTCTCCAAGTTTGCTTGGACTGGCCTCTAACTTTTGATCCCTCTGCCTGCCGCTCATAGGTAGGTGGGATTACTGGCATGTGCCACCAAGGTCAGTTTTTTTTTTGGGTGGGGGGGGGGGTCCGGTCATGGGGCCTGAACTCTGGGCCTGGGCGCTGTCCCTCAGCTCTTCAGCTCAAGGCTAGCACTTTACCACTTGAGACACAGCGCCACTTCCGGCTTTTTTCTTTTTGCTTATGTGGTACAGAGGAATCGAACCCAGGGCCTCATGCATGCAAGGCAAGCACTCTACCACTGAGCCACCTTCCCAGCCCAGGTCAGTTTTTTTTTTTTTTTTTTTTTTGTTGGTCGTGGGGCCTGAACTCTGGGCCTGGGCACTGTCCCTCAGCTCTTCAGCTCAAGGCTAGCGCTCTACCACTTGAGCCACAGCATCACTTCCGGCTTTTTCTGCTTATGTGGTGCTGAGGAATCGAACCCAGGGCCTCATGCATGCAAGGCAAGCACTCTACCACTGAGCTACCTTCCCAGCCCCAACGATCAGTTTTTGAAATAAGTTTTTTTCTGCCGGTCTTGGGGCTTGAAGTCTGGGCCTGGACTCTATCCCTCAGTACTTCAGTTCAAGGCTAGCACTCTACCACTTGAGCCACAGCACTGCTTCTAGCTTTTTGTGTTTATGTGGTACTGAGGAATCAAACACAGAACTTCATGCATGCTAGGCAAGCACTCTACCACTAAGCCTTGTTCCCAGTCCCTAAAATACTTTTTACTTATCAGCATCATGAAACATTGATTGAAAGGGTAGTCACTTGTCCACTTTTTGTAATAGAGCTAATTTGAATATATTGCCACTAACCAGATAAGCCTAGTCTTGGTCTGTTACAAGTCTTGCTTACACCCTAAGCCCCAGAAAACTTTCACACTAAGATACTTGAGGAAATTCAAATGTATTGAAATTCTAGGAAGTGGTGCTGTGGCTCAAGAGGTAGAGCGCTCACCTTGAGCTGAAGAGCACATGGACAGCACCCAAGCCCACAGTTCAAGCTCCACGATGACAAAATAAAAAAGAAATTCTACTCACCTGTGATCACCCTAGACTCTATCCTGACCATCCATCACAAGGCTGGGTCACTTTCTAAATGCAATTGTTTTATATTGAAAATATACTACTATAATATTGGCTAATTTTTAAAAAAGGGGGGCTGGGAATGTGGCTTAGTGGTAGAGTGCTTGCCTAGCATGCATGAAGCCCTGGGTTTGATTCCTCAGTACCACATACACAGAAAAAGCCGGAAGTGGTACTTTGGCTCAAGTGGTAGAGTGCTAGCCTTGAGCAAAAGCAGCTCAGGGACTGTGCCCAGGCCCTGAGTTCAAGCCCCATTAAAAAATAAAAATAGTGGGCTGGGAAGGTGGCTCAGTGGTAGAGCACTTGCCTTGCATGCATGAGGCCCTGGGTTCAATTCTTCAGCACCACATAAGCAGAAAAAGCCGGAAGTGGTGCTAGGCTTGAGATGAAGAGCTGAGGGATAGTGCTCAGGCCCAGAGTTCAGGCCCCATGACTGACAAAAATAAATAAATAAATAAAAATAGAAAGAAGGGAAAATATGCAAATAAACCATATTTAATTTTTTAACATAAGGAAATAAAAGCCACTAGGAAAGTAGAATTTTAAATCAACTAATGCTGTTCAAATGCTGCTGTCTTAAACTACCCCACTTGGATATCAAGCTTCCAGGATGGATGCTTATTGACAACAACACTGAAGTGACCAGATTGATGGGCAATTCATTACCAGATTATGGGATATATGGCAATGTTTTTTTTTTTTTTTTGGGTCCGGTCGTGGGGCCTGAACTCTGGGCCTGGGCGCTGTCCATCAGCTCTACCACTTGAGCCACAGCGCCACTTCCGACTTTTTTCTTTTTGCTTATGTGGTATTGATGAATCAAACCCAGGGCTTCAGGCATGCAAGGCAAGCGCTCTACCACTGAGCCATCTTCCCAGCCCAGCAACATGTTTTTACAGTATGATGTTAGATGAGTAAAATGAAGAAGAACAGCTACATGACATGAACCTCAGAAAACAATTTAGAAAGTGTTATGGCTCAAAACTAATGATGAAGTCATGGGAGAATGTCACCCTTATGGCTGACATGGTCCTAGGATATGAAGAGAATAATGGGTATGTAACACTGGAGGAAGTGGTCCTTTCAGGGAAGAATCATGTTTTCATTTAATGATAGAAATTGGGAGAGTTTCCGTTTAAGGGAAATTTGTCTGTCTTAAGAATGAGAATT